AGAAGGAAAGCCAGGGACGCTACTCCCCTGGGGCTGAGGGCGAAGGGCAAGGGGACAATGGGGGCGGGTGCGGACGGAGGTGCCGCTGCTCCAGGCTCAGGCTGACTGGCCTGTGAGGCCACTTTGGAGAGTCCTTGAGGCAGGTAGGACGAGGGGCTCGCTGCCCTGGCAAGTGTGGGGACTCAGGGGGCACATTCACTGTGCCTCAAGGGCTGGAAGTGCTCAGGGACAACCCCCCTTCTCCGGCAGTGTTTCTGAGAAGCGCCTCATTCCAGTCCAGGGGCATGAGTGGCTGGCTGGCACTCCACTGCCACGAAGCCTCCCACACGCACGCGAGCTGAGGCTGACCTCGGGGTCCTTCCACCCCCCAACCCCCCGGAGCATGTGCCTTAATGCATCTATAGGACAAGCCCACCGAATAGAAATGTGCAACTTAAAACACATTTAGCTGCAGATTGAACAAATGGTCTCCCTTTAAAGAAAAAGTACTTGAACTGGGAACTGTTACAGGAAATCCCAGACATCTGGCCACCATACTCAAAGGCTGCAAGCATTTAGGCTGAGCAGGAAAACTTGGACATAGGAACTTCTGTCCCCATTGTCGCCTTCTCATCTCTTGCCCTTCCTCTTTGTCCTGCCAATGGGTTTCAGCCCCCGGCAAGTTGGCTATGGATTCAGTGCGACCAAAGAAATGACAGGAGAACGTTTCTTTGGGGTGAAAGGGCTTTTTACCCGGCTTGTTCTCGGGGGCTAGATGGAGCACTAGCGTCTCTGCCTCTGCCCAGAGCACCGGGCGGGGCTCTCTATATAGCGCAGTGATAGCTGATTGCCTACGGGTGTGGAAGCAGCAGGCCAGCAACAGGCCGGTTACATTATCTGGTGGTTTAAGCTCAGTGAGGATCCTGGCCAGAGGAACCCCAACTTCCCCACACTCTTCAAAGCTAGGCCTGTCTCTGTTCATTGCCTCGGGGCAGGATTGTGCCAGCAGAGCAAACCTCACTCTCTGCCCAGCTTCGTCTCCTTAGATAGAAGATTTGGGAGAGAAAGATAAGGTTCCCCATCTGCTGTCCACAGGGATAGTTCATAAAATTCATAAGTACAGCATTGGGGGAGGGGACCAAGGGAACACAGACATTGAGTTTTGGAGAAGCTGGCTCTACACCCATTTCTTCACTCAGTGCCCAGCCTGAGCCCCAGAGAAGGGTAACTTGCCAGGGAGATAAGGCGGGGTCCAAGACCAGGGGTCTGGGTCTCATCTACACAGACAGTTTCCGGCGCCAATGAACTCATGCAGAAGAAATGGTGCGTGGGACGCCTAGGAAAGGCCTTAAGGGGTCTCCTGTGTGGTCCCACACCTGGAGGCGCTCCAGAGTCACTGCTGAATGGCAAAGAGAGAGAGGCATTGGTCTGAAGGCACTACAGGGTGGAAACAAAGAGCATTACCCACAACCTGAGAGTCCCCCACCCAAGACCAGGTGGGGTGTTGAAGTTCTCAGCTTCTGCAAACAGGCAATGCTGGGCATCAGATGCAGGCTCATTCTACCCCATACATCAGACACCCCACAGGGGAAGGGAGTGGGTTCTGGAAGATTCTGCCAGCCCAAATGAATAAAAAGTCAAAATAGAAGTTAAATAAAATGAGAGAGTCACGCTCCTTGTACACATGAGTTTGGGAACAATGATTCATAAAACTTCAAGCATATTTATGTAGAGATTTAACAAGTTGGCATTAAAAGAACTGGGACTTTCTGAGAAGATATTAAACAGGTGGTCACTGTACTATAAATCTGAACCTTTAGGTGTCTTTTGAAAGAAGAAGAAAAAATTATTCCAACCCCCCTCAAAAAAAAAAAAAACCAGGAGAAAGAGGGTCATTGTAGTGCTAGCAGTCATTTTCCAAACATTTCACAGAAAAAAAAATCTCTTGAATCTAGTCATTCATTCATCTCAGGCAAATATGGAAAAACTGGAAGAATTAGGAATGAAGAAGGAAGTCACCAGCACAGGGGCTGGGGATGGAAAATGTTTTGCAATTTCATAGCTGTCGCCACCTCGGTTGGTGTAATGGGTCACGAGCACAGTATGTTTGGTGCCTGCTGGTAAGGGGAGCCCAGCCGAGACTCCAGACATGGGCTCCGTTGCCCTTTATGCATTTAATGTCCCTGTCGCCTTGACGTCTGGAACAGTCACCTCACCCACTCCTCTGAAGGGGGCTCCTGGCAAGTCCAGAGCTCCCCGCCTCCCCTGCCGACTTGGTAGGTGGAGCCATGGAACCTTCTGCCTTCAGTGGTTTCCCACTGGGATGGGCTGCAGACATGGACTTAAGAAATACTCTTGCTGAGAAAGGGGGGGACCCCAGATTACCTGCTCACTGTCCTGACATTTCAAGGGAGGAAAGGCAGGGGGAGGGACTTATGTTAGATATCAGGGGGTCTTTCCAGATCATCTGGATCAAAAGCACTGATTCATGTCCCCAAGGGAAATTGGGGGGGTGAGGCTCAGGGTAGGTTGGAAGCAGGGGGTGAATTGCTCAGTTAATGCCATCAACTGGGTTCGCACTTTTAAAGTGCCTTCCACGTCCACTACACCCGCAGAACAGACATACACATGGGCGTATATTTTTACTCTCCCGGTTCTCTATATGGTGCTTCGGTCCTCCAAAGTTCGCTTTTCTCTCTAAGCCTTGCCTTGAAGAATTTTCTCCAACCTTGTGAAACAGGAGGCTGAGAGTGGCGGGTCTGTCGCAAGAGCAGAGAAATGGACAGAACAGAGAGGACAACAGCTTAACCCCAGTCCCAGGGTCTCTTATCAAATTAAAAATATTTCTGAACTATTAACCCATCCCCTGTGACCTTGCCCCTGGTGGGAAGGGAGAACAGACATGCCCTGAGTCAAGGACATTCACCCCAGCTTCCTGTCTTCTAGATAAAGAACCAGGCAGGAGGTCAGCTGCGCAATGACTTACTCAGAGTTCACCAAGTAATGAGTCTAAATAATGACAGCAAACATTTCTTTAGCACTCACTGCATGCCAGGCCCTTGATGTGGTCTGTCTTATTCAATTCCTCCAACAGCCTTGTGAGGTAAGGACAAATATGAGCTCCATTCTTCCAAAGAGAAAGCCAAGCCTTACAGAGGCTAAGCGACTCAGCTGTAGAGCAGTTAAGAGGCAGGCTGGGAGGGCCACCAGACTCCAGAGCCCAGGGCAGTGACTCCTAGGCAACACCGATTCCTGGAGGGATGCAGAGAGATGCGTAAGTGTATATATATAGCTATATAGCTGGAAGACAAGCTGACCAGTGTATGAAAAGAAGGGAGGTGAGAAATCTATTTTAAACTATAGGTGGTACTTTGGGGAAAGGTTAAAAATTCCATTGCTGAAAATGTTGATGCTGTTCCTTTGTCTGGCGAATACAGACATGGAGGTCATGGCTGCAAAGAGCCTGTGGAGAAGGAGCTGGAGTGAATGAGTGGGAAGGCTTGGATCACCAGCAACTTCCTTTAAATACAGGTTTCCCCCGCCATCTAAAAGCGGGGCATTCCCTTGAAACCTCTCATGAGCTGAAATGGCATAAAGTGAAGCAGCAGTTACTATTAATTATATGGAAAGATTGGGGGGCATTCCCAGACCCAAAAAATCACCTCCCTCAGGCTTTCTGAGACCTTAGGACACACCTTGTTAACAGATGCACAAAATACATCGAGATAAAGTACAGATGCTCGCAGACACTGCTCGGAGCTCTGGGGCCTGGTGCTGAGATGCTGAGAGGGGTCTCCAGGGAAGGAGCTTGGTGGGGCCACTGTCACTGCTTTGGGGGTGCACATCCTCTAGGAGGGGTCACTGCCAAACAGACCCTGACCACTATTCTTCTCTTTGCCTTTCTTTGTAAAAGTGAAAGTCCTCCTCAGATTTCTTTCAGTTAGCGAAAACAGGCACTAATGCAGATCTTCTGTAAAAGTGCAATAGTGTATCACAAACTATCAAAAAGCAGGGGATCTCTGGAATGGGGTGGTGCTTGTTCCCCTCTCTCTTCTCCCGGCCCAGCTCCAGTTCCAGGATCTCCAGTTCCAAGCCTTCTGTTGAACCTCACTCCCTGCCCTGTGCAACCCCACTGAACTCCAGGCCTCGCCCACTGGCTTCCAGGGAAATGCAGAGGACGACAGAGCCCGGGATGACAGCCTCTAGGGAGGCTGCCGAGGCTGCCCTGTCTCCAGAAACCAGCGGACCACGTGATAGGGAGGAGAGGAGAGCCCAGCCATTACCCGGATGGGAAGCTGGACTCTCTCGTCCAGTCTGTGAGCACCTGTCCAAACTTTTGGTCTTGGGACTTCTGAAGAGTTGAAGGGACTGAGAGGGGAGGGGTCAGCAACTCTGTAGTGGGTAGAAATTTTGGTGAAAGATTGAGAAAGGGTAACTGGCTGCCTAGGAGACAGCCCTGGTTTAAATGAGGGGCTGGCTGCTGGGGCCCCCAAAAGTGTTTTGAGAGACCTGAAGGGAAGCTGCAAGCTTTCTTATTACAAGCCTTGAATATTTCAGAACATCGCTTGTGCCACATTCTATTGGTCAAGCAAACCACTAAGGTCAACCCAGATCAAAGGGAGAAGTGAAAATCCGTGGTGTCTTTAATCTACCACATCCCCATTTGCCAGAAGGAATAAGTGCGGCCCACAGTGGTACCTGATTGCTTCTAGGTCAGAGAGTTGTTAGTTACTCCCTTAGTTTCCTATTGCTGCTGTAACAAATTAGCACAAACTTAATGGCTTCACACAAAAAATTAATTCTGGAAGTCTGAAGTCTGAAATGTGTCTGACAGGTGAAAATCAAGGTTTTAGCAGAACTGTGTTTCTCCTGGAGGCTCCAGGGGAAAACGTGTTTCCTTGCCTTTAGCAGCTTCTAGAGACTTTCCGCATGCGCTGGCCGCGGCCCCGTCCTCCATCGTCAGCGGAACACGCACCCGACACCCTGCCCCACCCTCACACCTCCCCTCTGGTTGTGACCTTCCTGCCTCCCCCTCATAAAGGACGGTGCAATGAGGTTGGGCCCATGTGGATAATCCAGGGGACTGTCTCCACCTCAAGATCCTTAATTTAATCCCATCTGCAAGGTCCCTTTTGCCTTGGTGGGTAACATATTCACAGGTTCTGGGGATTAAGACACGGACATGGGGCATTATTCTGTCTATTAGAGGGACTGAGCCCAACTAGAACACAGGCTCCCAGTGCGTGACGTCCTTCCATGGCAGCATGAGGAGAGGGCTATGTCAGTTATTCACTGCCTCAAAATGTATCATAAATGGCCCACCCCCAAACTCGGGCCTTAAAACCATAACCTGTTGGTCAAGGCATGTCATCTGGTTGGGGCCATATTCAGGGTAGGGAAGACACTCTAAGACTGTGCAAACAGCGTGGATATTGGGAATGGTGAAGAATTAGGACTCTGAATTTATTTTCCTCTTTATCTCAGGACTTCAGTGATACGGCTGTTTGAGTTCCAGGTGTCAGAGAATACTTGGTCACCCGTGAGTGCTGCCCACAGGCTCCCAAGAGCCAGAGATGTTGTGGCACTCTATTCTCCAAAGGTGGCCACACGCACACATTTATCCCATCCCAGCAGCTCTTCTTACAATGTGGCCAGAAGTCCTCTTGCTGAGAGGTGGGGTTTACGATGCCTCCCCCCTGAGTCAGAGGGGGCTTGGGGTTGTCCTGACCTACAGCACAGCAGAGGTGATACCACGTGACTTCTGAAGCTTAGGTCATAAAAAAGGATTCCGCTTCTGCCTGGCTCTCTCTGTCTCAAGATGTTTGCCTTTGGAATCCAGCAACCACATTGTGAGGAAGCACGGGCCGCATGGAGAGGTCCTTTTGAAGAGGACCCAAGGCTTGCCCCCGACTGCCAGCACCCACCTGCCAGCCACGTGAACAGGCAGCCTTGCAAGTGGATTCTCTGGTCCGAATCTGGCCTCCGATGCCACAGCCTTGCCTAACGTTTTGGCCATAATTTCATGAGAGCTGAGCCAGAACTACCCAGCCAAGCCACTCCCAGATTCCTGATCCCTAGGAAAAATGAGAGATAATAAATGATTATTATTTTTATAAGTCATTAATATCTGAGATGATTTGTTATGCAGCATTAGCTAATTACTACAGACCTAATATGAGGCTGAGCATAGAGAGAGAATAAACAGTCTGGGACCTCAAGGGACTGACGGTCTCTAGGTGACCGAGTGACACGAATGGATCAACAGCAGTGTATGTAGTCCATTCACGCTGCTGTAACAGAAAACCAGAGAGACTGGGTGGCTTATAAACAACAGAAATTTATTTTTTATGGTTCTGGAAGCTGGGAAATCCAACATCAAGTCACTGGCAGTTTTGGTGCCTGGGTAAACCCCATTTCCTGACTCACAGACAGCTGTCTTCGCCCTGTGCCCTCACATAGCTAAAGGGGCAGGCAGTTCCCTGGTGTCGCTTTTATAAGGGCACCAACTTCATGACGGCCTCCCAGAGGCCCCATATCCTATTATAATCACACTGGGATTAGGATTTCAACATACGAATTTGGGGCGGGGGAGACATAAATGTTCAGTCTATAGCAATATAACACGAATCTAACAGAATCAAGATATACGAGGGTTGCTAAGAGGAAGCATATGAGATATGGTAACCATATTTTCGCAACTGAAAATTGGGACAGTCGACGGACTGTCACCCATTGCAGTTTGGGATTGGGACAAAATATTTAGATCAGGACTAACCAGAATAGTTAGGTTAGTATGGTCACTTTGCTGGGAAATCATTCTGCCCGGGTGGGGCTCGGCATGATCCGGAAGGGCTACCCACGGTGACAGCCCTGCGATGGCAAAAACTGTCAGCCTTTGCCCTCCCTTCTGTCTAGGAAAGAGGGGCTCTACCCGGTCAGCTTCAGGGAGGGCTTGCAGACCTTGCAAGACTGTATTTTGGGGTTCGTGCTGCAGAATCAGGAGGAACAGGGACAGAAGAAGAAGGGGCCTAGAGCTAAGAGAAGTTTGGGAGGTAGGAATTTGGGGAACGAGAGTTACCGGATCAGATTTGATCTGCAAAAAACAAATGGGAGTGGAAAAACAGGCTTCTGAGAAATATTGTTCTGATCTGCCCCATTCTCTTTATAGTATTTGGGCATGAGTACAAATAACTTGAGCTACTTTGGAACAGTTTTTGGTTGCCAGACTGAGTTTATTTGATGGCAACAGCTATGCGAGTGGCCAGGCGGTGCACTGTGTTTTCACAGTGGAGAGGAATAGGGTGTGGTGAGCGATTCTCTGCATAGGAGACGCTGGGGCAGGAGCTGTGAAAGTAAGACGCTGGAAGCCAAGGATGTGTTCATTTGTTCCAGGCTTGGAAGTCAGCGTGACTTATGACCTGGAGAATCTGGGCTGCCCAGGCCCACTGGGCTGCCCAGGACACCAGAGGTGTCCCTGACCATGCTGGCTGTAGCCTGTGGGGCAGCGCCCGGAGTGGGGAGGGCCCTGGCAGCAGCTGGACAGGCTAACTCTCAAAACACAGGGGGCTGGGGCTGGAGGGAGAGGCAGGAGTTTGCTGGTCCCTACGAGTAACTCAGAAGTAAAGACAAGAGATAAAAATAGGGTGTGTGTAAAGAGCTGCCTCAGTTTCCCAGAATTTCCCAAGGGATTGTGAGTTTCCCCAGGGCAAGGGCCGGTTCTTACTCACATCAGACCTAATACCATGTCTGACAGGTTGCAATTGCTCAGGAAGTCATGTTGGTGGGGAGTGTGTAGGGAGGAAGGAAAGGAGGCAGGTTGGCCGGTTCTGCTCAGTTAAGTTTCCAGAATTCTGGGGTTCACTCCTCTGGCCTTCTCTGATCTAGCCATGCCTCCTTCCTCAGGTGAACTGCCGACAGAGTGCTGGGAACCCACTGGGAATCGGGTAGACCCGGATTCAAATCCACACTTCTTCACTTCAGCAATGGGACCACAAGCAAATTGTTTAAACTCCTTACCGAAGTTGAGCCTCCTGTAAAAGAGGTCAAAAGCTTGCGGCATGGAGAGTACGTGAAATAAATACCTAAATGCCCCTTACCCAGTGCCCAGCACACAGGCATGCTCAGGACACACTCGGCTCTTCCTTCCCGCTGGCACATAAACCCAGGCCCTGCTCCTTTCCGCACAGCCGGTCTGACCGTTCCTTACCCTTAGGCCTTCCCGTGCTCCCCTCCTCATCTCTGCCTGTCCCGCCTGGCATCTCCCAGCTGTGGTGGCCGCCCCCTGCCTCTGCCTGGCTCCCTGCAGCATTTCTCCCACGAGCCCTGCTTAGCCTCCTTGCTGGGACCAGGGCAATGTCCATCAGGAGGCCCTGGGAGGCGAGGGGGCAGCACAGAGCCCTGAGCAGAGCCGGGGGACAGGACTCAGTGGCTTCTGCAAGGTCAACACCCGTCTCCTTCCTGCAGCTGCATACAGCCTGTTATTAGGGAGGAAAATAAAATTTAAATTTAAAAAGCGGATGCTCCCACTTGCCATGGCATTCCAGGGCTCTGTCTCAGCCTGGGAGAACCCCGTCCTCCACACCTTCCACATCACCCTGAACCCCCAGCCTCCACGGCTTCTCCATCCCTCCTGTCTCTGCCCTCTGCCCCCCCCAACAGGAGCAGAGGGCCGTCTCTGGGCATGCGGAGCTGCAGGGCAGCAGAGACCTTGGATGTGCGGGCACAGGCACTCCCATCTCCCCAAACCCTGAAGGCAGGGGGGCTACACAGGGTGCCCAAGCCCCAGGGGGTATCACACTAGCCTCAGAAGAGCCAGTGTCTGTTTTCAAGGTTGTGCTGGGCCATGCCCACCAGCAGGGGTTAGTCTCAGCCTGATTTGGTGGAGGGTGATGCCAGGCAGGGTCAGCCCATCCTGACAATGAGTGTGCCAGGCAAACACCCAGAGAGCCTAGGAGACAGGTCTGAGGTCACAGTGGAAAAAGCGCAGAGGCCATGTTAAGGCTCAGCCCCACAGGGGTGGGAACAGCACCCTGTGGCACCCAGGCTCCTGAGCCCTCTCCGCAGCGGGACACACACCCTCACAAGGGAGTGAGATGAGGACCTGCGTTCTGTCCACCATGGGGCACCAGTGCACCACGAGGCCCAGGAGGGGCCGCCAGCGTGGCTCTGTCCAGGGTGAGGAGCCAGTGGCTTGGGGAGGAGCCGTCCCAGGATGCCCTGGCCAGCCCTTGTCACATTCCAGAGCCCAGAGGACCAAGACCCCCCCGCCCTCCTTGTCTGGAGGCATTCAGCCCGGGCATTTCCGCCGCTCCCACCCCCTCCTGTCTGTGTTCTCTTTCTGCATCCTGGGGCCAAAGGTTCAGCGGGAGCTTCCGCTGCTCTTCTCTGCAGAGGAGCTGGGCTGGAACTGGGGAGAACAGGGAGAGGGTGGGGGTCAGCCAGGGGAACTTCCCACTTAGTTTAACATTGCTGAAAAGCCAGACATCTCTAAATGTGGGCTGAGCACCCCCAAGGGCCCAGCAGTATGCCAACCACCCCCAAAATACAGAGATGAGAAGGCCCTGGGGAGCTGTCTGTCCCGGAGGGAGGTGTGTGCTTACAGAAGGGTCCTTGATGGCCTCATCGGCTCGGGCCCCCAAGGAGACCAAGAGAGGAGCTGTCGCTGAGGCTTCCAGCCCACTGCATCCCACAGGCGGTGTGAGCGCAGGCGCCACGCCTGCCTGTTCAGTCCCTCACCCAGTGCCTGGCCCTCTGGGGGTGCTTAGTGCACATCTGAATGGGACAGAGTGAGTCAGTGAATGAAACGAGGTGGCTCAAGAAGGGTGCCTGGAGGGAAGGGTGTCTGAATTGTGCTTTAGAGGGTGAGCACAGGCTGACTACACCAAGGAGGAGGGACTTTATTCTAGGCAGCTGGGAGGCTTGTAAAGGAGGGCAGAAGAGGGACTGTCCACAGAAGGGCAGGAGGGACAGCTTCTCTGCTGCTCTCAGGAAAAAGCTCAGGCCCCTTAACATCACCCGCAAGGCCCTTCGGAGCCGGCTTTGCCCACCCTCTGGTACGGTCTCTCCCCACACCTTCCTGGTCCACTGCTCTCCAGCTGACCCAGGTATTTATTTGCAATCATTGGAACGAGCATCTTCCTCTCCCTCCTCCAGGCCTGTAAACATCCCCATCCCTCTGGCAGAAGGGGGCTGCCAGAGGGCCTCTTCCTCCCAGGGTCCTCCCTCCTGCAGTTGGCGGGCGGTGGGGGGGCTGCCCTCTCAGTGTGGCCACACCGTCCGTGCTAGCCCCATGCTCACACTAATCACACTTACTGACGAGGATTTCAGCAGGGTTGGCTCCAGTGTCAGAGGCGGCCAGCATCCAAGGGTCAAAACAGAGGCTGTGTGGTCCCAAACACCCCTGACCTCGGCTCTCACGGATCTTGCCTTCTAGCCTCAGAGTGGAAGAGGCTGGCTAGAGTGGTCGTGGCTTACAAAGCTTTTCTATACAGACATCTCTAAACGTGATCACACGTGGCAAACATCCTCTGTTAATACAGATTTCCCATTAGCCTGGAAGTTCCTGGGGGTTAGAGAGATCAAGTCTTGCTGTCCTTTGTAATGCCATTTAAGTGGCACACCAGGCACACGGTAGGCTTAATAACTGTTTGTTTATTTGGTTAATCAAGCAATCCCATCCACTTAGAGAAGGTGTCCTGATAACTTGCAGTCTCCGCACTAACTCTTGAATTGGCAGCAGGCAGAGGTACGCCTACCTAGAGGGAATGCCCAGAATGGAACCTAATCCCCGAGGTGGGAAGGAGAAGGCTAAGGCAGTGAATGGGAAGCAGGCTCCCCATTAAACATGACATGCTTGCAGGTGGAAAGGCTACGAGAGCAGCTGGCCCACCTTGTAACATGGGAAACTGGGACTCAGATATGGAAATGATTTATCCAAGGTCAACAAGACAGCTCTGCATGTCAGACCCAGATGTGTGATCTTGGCCCTCGACGGTCAGCCCTCAGGCAGCCTCTCCACTGTGCCAGGCTGTCTCCCGTGGCCTCCTGCTATCTTTCCCAGGAAGGTCGTGGGCAT